GGGGGGGGGGGGGTTGTTTTTTGTTTTTGTCCTAGAAACTTTCCTTCTCTCCAAACAAAATATCAAAAAAGGAAAAAAAAAAATCCTTATGTTTAAAAATCCTATTTACACTTCACACAGGAAGGCTCCCTGCAGCTCCTCACATCTCTCCTTTGCACACTCACCATACTCTAGTTGTTCCCAGTAACAATGACCACATTCTGTCCTTCCGATTTTTTATGCTTCTTTCTTTCCCCTGTGCTTTATAAGGTCCTTGAAGGCAGGTGCCACGTGTTTTACTGAGTGACCAGAGAAGTGACCAGACATTAAGGGGAAGTGGGGTGATGCAGAGGAGAGCAAGAGCGGAAGGAGGAGAAGAAATGAGGAGGCAGCAGGAGCTCGCAGTCAGGGGAATGTTTTACTGAGTGACCAGAGAAGTGACCAGACATTAAGGGGAAGTGGGGAGAGCAAGAGCGGAAGGAGGAGAAGAAATGAGGAGGCAGCAGGAGCTCGCAGTCAGGGGAAGAGTCCAGTTCTCGAGTTTTCTTGGTCATTCAGAATCTTTTTGCTAAAGACAGATCCTTCAAATATCTAACACATTTTCCTTCTAGAACAATTCTGAGAGTGAAGTGTTGCACAAACTTTTTAAATGTTTTGCCAACACTACATCTCCTTTGCAGAGGCTGATCAAAACTTCTGCCTTGTGGATTCCTAACACTACCAAACACCTAAGCTTTCGGAGGAATTTGATCAACATTCCTATAGTTACCTTTTTGATATGAAATGTTTTTATTTGCGATTTATAAGTACATGACGCCAGCATGAGTATGCCCCAAAGCTGGTCCATTTGTCATCCCTCCTTTACCACGTTCAGTAAGAGGCATTCCTGCCCAAAGAAATCACAGCAGCCCTGGCCTTTTCCTTTACTACCCGCCATACCAGCTGTCTCTAGCAAGAAGATGGAGGTAGAACTGACTCTAGATAAACGTATCACTCAATCTTTTCCAAAAGCAGGTTGGCCGTCTCTTTTCCTGGGATAGTGGGAATCATTTCAGTGTCAGCTTAACTCTTCCTGAGGAAAGAACAAAGAATCGCATCTTAAACCAGCTCAACAAGACGGCTCTCCACCACTCCAGAAGCCTGGGCCAAAACCCCTGGCAAGAACTGTGCTGCCTGCCACTTCCCTAGACCTCTTCACACAGGTTACTTTCTCTTACGTCTCCACAAATCATCTCTGCCTCTATTTCCCCTTGAGATGAGATCCCTAGATCAAGTGAAGAAGCCATGTGATAGGCACAAAAAAATCAAGGCCATACCATCTGACTGCACGCACATCACTACCATTGTAAATCTTACCAAAAAGGAAGCTTGTACTCCAGTTTCCTATTTACTGTCCTTGAGAGAATAAGTGCTGCCAAGTCACAAGAACCTGTAGCACTTTGCTTCCATTTCCCCACTGTTATTATGTTTACAACTTTATTTAGAAGTAGATGACTTCACAGCTTTTGCCATTCAGTAACCCTTCAACGTGAGGGCTTAATATGGAATCCTTAAAATGAGCTGAGAAGACATCAAATACTCAAAAATCCAAATTACCTAGACTGGTAGAGGTTAATGCTCTGCATTAAATAAGAACAGAAAGTATCAATTTTGTACTCTGATTATGCCTGCCAAAGGACTGAGTCAAATAAACACATAAAATATGATGGATGAGGGCAACGGGGGTGGGAATACCACCACGGAACTGAGTAAGGTCTAGCAAGGGAGCAAATGGAGGTGTGCCCTGGCCTCCTCTCACATCCGGGACTTCTATCTGGACCTTCAACTCTCCTTTCCAGTGCAGGGCTGACTGAGAAGTAACCTTTTACTATTTCATTCTATTTATAATTTTTATAGCTGTATAGCCACCAAGGACTGTGCTGCTGAGCGGGTATATGGCAGCAACCCAAGCATCTGGGATTACGACAAATAATTATAAGAAAACAGTTAAGTACCAAATTAAGATATTCATTAACCTTGTCTTTCCTACAATGTTAGTTTATCAAATTAGTTCACTTTGAAAAATAGAAAACCCATCACATTCTTGTACAGCTTAGAACTCACCTACCCTTTCATTGTACAGGTGAGGGAACAGGCCCAGAATAGTGTTATCTGATTAAGGTTATATGACTAATTAGTCACAGAGACATGACCAGGATGACACTTTAAGACCTTCCATGATAATGTACAATCCTCAAAGAAAGAGTTTAAAATACCAGGCTCCATTATTGAGAGCACTGAGATATACCAGAGGTTAAATCAATTCCTCTAAAGAAGAAAGATGATCAATCTTATGCTTTGGCCTTCACTGTAAAGTAATCCCTAAGTGAGTCCAGTTAAGATGCTATAAGCGGCCCTTGGGAGGCAAGGAGCCTTTCTTTCAGTGCCACAGTTAGATTCCTTCCCATTTGGATTCCTAGCTTACAGACAAGCAACTTCAACCAAGGCATTCTATGTGTGGGGCCCTAACATTGTGTTACTGGTCACATCATGAGTATTACCTATAAATTTTATACTCTGTAGTACATGCATTACATAAAAGCAAAACTCAGTCGTGGTTCACACTGACGCTGAAATAAGACAAGCTAGGAAAGGTTCGTGGGTAGGAACACAACAGCAATTGTAGCTGTTTAAAAGACAGGTTTAAACATAACATCAAGAGTCCAGTTTATGCAAAGAAGGAGAGAACTGAAAGGTGGTTACTAGAGGCTGGGGTGGGGTGGGGCAGGGTGGGGAAGTGGATGGGACAAGGGGAGATAATGGTCAAAGGGTACAAAGCTTCTATTAGGAGGAATAGATTCTGGTGACCTACTGCACAGCATGATGACTATAGTTAATAATAATACATTGTTGGGCCAGCCCTGTGGTGCACTTGGGAGAGTGCGGTGCTGGGAGCGCAGCAACGCTCCCACCGTGGGTTCGGATCCTATATAGGAATGGCCGGTGTGCTCACTGGTTGAGCGCGGTGCAGGCGACACCACACCAAGGGTTGCGATCCCCTTACTGGTCACGAAAAAGGCAAAAAAAAATAATAATAAAATAATAATAATAATACATTGTATATTTCAAAATAGCTAAAAGAGTGAATTTTAGATATTCTTACCACAAAGAAATAATAAGTATTTGAGGTGATGGATATGTTAATTAGCCTGATTTGATCATTCCACAATGTATACATGTATCGAAACATCACATTATACCCCATATATATATATATATATATACAATTATTATTTGTCAATAAAAAATAAAATAAAACTTTTTTAAAAGTTCAGTTATTATAACAACTAAGTTGAAAAGATCCATGTCTCAAATAATATTAACTCCTGTCATAGCTAAAGCAAATTGCTAAAATGATGGTATCCTTTTTTACTCTTAAGAAGCTTAACTTACTCATCTGTGAAACAAAAATAGTAGATTTTCATATCATATCTTAAGTGGCACTGCACCATAATGGTATAGGCAACCTTTCTAGAAAAGTCCCTCTATAAAGAGCATACTAAAAAACAGTCAATGACATTGGTAATTTTGTATAAAAATATAAAATCAAATAAGAGCAGGGATTCAAACAAATATCTGTACATCAAAGTTCATAATGGCTATATTCACAATAGCCAGAAGATTGAAAAAACCCAAATGTCCACTAACAGATGAATAGCTAAACAAAATGTGGTGTATCCATACAATGGAATAGTATTCAGCCTTTAAAAGGAAGGAAATTCTAATACATGCTTCTGCATTGATGAACCTTGAAAACTTTATGCTAAGTGAAATAAGCCAGACACAAAAGAACAAATATATGATTCCACTTATATGAGGGACCTAGAATAGTCAGATTCAAAGAGACATAGTGGTTAGTAGGAGCTAGAAGGGGGGGATGGGAAGTTACTATTTAATGGATACAGAGTTTCAGTCTGGGATGATGAAAGAGTTCTGGAGACGGACAGCAGTGATGGTTGCACAAAAATGTGAGTGTACTTAATGCCACAACTGAATTGTGTACTTAAAAATGGTTAGAATAGTGAATTTCATGTATTTTTTCCTACAATAAAAAAAATCAAATGAGAAATACTAAGTGGCAATTTCTTTTAAGATTTTGACCCATACTCCACTCCCCTGCTTAAACAAATAAAATACAAAAAATAACAAAAACCAGTATCACTCACAGCATTAGAGCTTAAAATACACCATCAAATAAAAACAGACTTGGGTCCATCGCCCCAAAGCCATTTAACCTGTGTGTTTATTACTAAAATAATTCATGTCCACCATGATTATAAATGTATTTACATTAAGCACAAGCTCCAATCAAACATACAAAGAGAAAGAGAGGGAGAAACTGAAACAATAAAATTGTCATCAGACTTGACATAGCAACCATCTGTTGACATTACTGTCCTCTGAACCCAAGAAACCCAAATCACGTGGCAGAGCAGGGATCTTCACCTTAGCTGTGAAGTCCTACTTTCATGTCATAGGGCACTTCTGGAAGGAAGTTCTGTAATAGCCAGCTCTAAGTACTAGCAGATTTCCGACTAGTCCTACAAAGGAAGTCATTCTTGTGTCTCACCTGCATGAGTTCCTGTTATGAGGCCAGGGGACTAGTGCATTGAAATCCAGTTCCAGGGAGTGATGTCATCTTGACTGAGCTATGATCCCCATGACCTGCTCCCCAGCCTGGTGTTGTTGCAGCCCTTCAGCTGGGGTTCAGGTTATAAGGGGACCAAAAAGGAAAAAGGGGAGTAGAATAATAAAAAAAGGAAAAATGCCTGCATATTTCCTTTGTTTCACTAAAGCATTTTCTGTTTCCATTTAAATTGATGGGAGGACCCGGTCATGGGCAGATGGAAGCTGTACAGATGCTCTTAGAGTAAGGGTGGGCACTAACAGGTCTCAAAAATACAAAGAAGATTAAAACATACAGAAAATTTCGATTATTTCTGGTGGCTTCTAACTTGAAAATAGTAACTTATTCTTTCTTTGGATAAAATTTTAAAAATAGACATTACTTTAAAACATTTGTAAATTTTTGTAAACAATGCATGACTATAGGAGCTATCTTTGCAACACTAAGAAATAACAAATACAATGTTTGGAGATGTGTGAATACTCACATTCTTTCTATATAATGTCAAGTAGATTAGAAGTTCAAATGTAGAAATGTCATCACAGTAAGGACTAAAATAGGATTGTCATTTAATTCCACTTAGATGAGATCCTTGGGTTCTTAGTATACCAAGCCCCAAAGTAAAATGAAGTCAAGTATAAGAAGCAGCAGCAGAAACTGACAACATTCCAAAAGGAGAGGAAGAGACCTTTCTTAAAAAAACAAAACAAACAAACAAGAAAAAACCTTAAGCTATTAAATGAAGAAGATATCTAAATTTTTACCATATTTATTTTACATCATGATTTCTTAGTCCTTATTAAGCTGATGCAGTCTGGGAAAATAAATACTCCCTTTCCTCCTTAAGTTGTAGTGTGTTAGGATTAGGAGGAACAGTACTAGAGAAAGAGCAAAGGGTGCAGGAAATGAAGATACAGAAAGAAAGGTGAGGCTGAAGAGAAAGACAGCATGGGTGTTTATACAAACCCTTCTCTAAATAAGCAGTATCAACCAACAAAGTACGAAGTTGACAACATGGAGCATTCTGTCACAGATATACTCTGAGGCCACATTCAAGATACATTAATTATATAAGATCATGGTACAGGTTTTCTGTCAGACATCATGCGTATATTCTTTTTTTCTCACTTTTTAGGTCCCACAGATGACATTATTCATGAAGTTTTTAGTGTCTTAATCCGCAAATATTAATTTGATCTTATAAACCAATCCTGGTTAGCAGAAAGCTCTGTTAGCTGCCATGTAAAAGTCCTTCTTTCAAGTAAAATTTAATTTTACACTTACAGCTTCACATCAGAGGAACTTCTTGAAGGGCATTCCTCTTTCAGTTGGGTTTACAACTCACCTGCAACACTAAGATAACACCTGGGTTAAAGGTGAGTACATAACAGCTCTGGGCAAAATTAGCTAATATCTTGTCCAGCCAGTAATTGTACATGAGTTGTTCTTATTTAGCCTTTTTCTTCCTGCATTTCCTCTAAAGGTCTATATCCAAATGCTTTGATGCTCCATAGTGACCATGCTGCAGAGTTGCCCTTGTGCTGGAGATGCCTGTCACAGAGAAGATCAGGATGTGTGAAAACAACCCGCAGCGCGTTCATCTCATCAGTTCTGCCCAATCCACAGGGGTAAAAAATGGGTGAGATTTGATATCTTCGACACCAGCAACACCAGCACCAAGACGCTCCAGAGGATTGAACTGCAAGAGCTGAAAAAGAAGGATTTAGTGAGTAACAGGAATCCAACTGGTGAATCAAAGGAAAACAAAATATATGAAAGAAAAAACTAAATTCAAACCCAGTGACAAACGGACTTAATAGGAAACGGACTATGTTTTCTTGAAAGGGAGCTATCCCTAACACCACTCTAGCTGTGGGGAGGTGGGGGATATTTGAACTGAGTTTATGGCTTTTCAACTGATTTGAAACATGACCATGAGCAACTCACTTTTGTTTCCCTCATTCTCATGTAGTGTAACAGGATAGTTACACCTATCAATTTCCTATTCCAAAAGTACACCACGAGATTAATTAGATACCGCACTAAATTCTGGGAGCCAGCTACTGGCTTCATGATTAGGAAGTCTGGAAGGCACAATAAGTCTTTCAACCCCTAATGAACTATATATGCATTAGAACTAAACTTCACCTAAAGCATGAATAAACGAATTCATATTCCAAAATCGTTTTCTTTGGAATAACTGACTCAAAATAATTTGACCCAATGAAATGTGTTTTGATTTTTTCAGAAATAGGAAACATATACATAATAAGTTAATAATGTTACATGCAACAGCACTGTTAATAGAGTGGGAAAATTGAAGTAGTCACATACAATTATATGGGGACTCTGGGCATGCTGGAAAAATATGCCTTGAGACATTCGTGCATCCTCAAATTTAGGTTTTAAAAGCTTTACTGAGGGGATAATCTATATAGCATAAAATTTATCTATTGTAAGTGTACAATTCAATAATTTTAAGCAACTTTAGAGTTCTTCATTTCCTCCTTGGATTCGAGTAACTGTCTGGTTATCATTTCCTTTCAGTCTGAAAGAATTCTTGCAGTATTTCTTATAAGGCAGATCTGCTAGCAATTAATTCTCTCAGTCTTTCTTTATCAGAACGCCTTTATTTCACCTTCATTTTTGAAGGATAATTTTGCTAAATTCTTGGTTGACTGTTATTTCCTTTCAGCAGTGTGAATGTGTCATTTTGCTGTCTTCTGTCCTCCATTGTTTTTGATGAGAAGTCAGACATTAATGCTTCCTTCTATATGATGAGTTGTTTTTCTTGAAAGCTTTCGAGATTTTCCTCTTTGTATCTAAGTGTGGATCTCTTTGTACTTTCCTGCTTAGAGTCTGCTGAGTTTCTTAGGTGCATAGATTAATGTTTATCATCAAATTTGGAAATTTTTCACCCATTTTTCTTCACATATTTTTGCTGTATCCTGTTTTTGTTCCTCTCCTGGGACTACCATTATATGTACATTGGTACATTTGATGTTGTCTCATAGGTCTCTGTAGCCCCATTAATTTTTCTTCCAATTTTTCTGTTTTTCAGATTGAATAATTTCTATTATATTCAAGATCATTGATTGTTTCTTCTTCTACCTCAGATTTGCTTTTGAGCTACTCCAGTGAATTTTTTTCCTCTAGTAATTTTTTTTTTTTTTATTTAAATTACTGTACTTTTCAACTTGAGACTTCTACTTGGGTTCTTTTTTAAATATATATATATAATTTCTATCTCCTTATTGAGAATCTCTATTTGTTGATTCATTACTGTCATACTTTCCTTTAATTCTTTAAATATGGTGTAATTCTTTGAAAATATGTATAACAGCTGCTTTGAAGTCTTTGTCTGTCAAATACAAAATCTGGGAACACTCAGAGACAATTTCTATTGATTGCTTTTTTCCTGCATATACGTCATACTTTTTTATTTCTGTGTATGTCTTGTATTACATTTCACTAAAAATGAGACTCTTTAGATGATATATTTTAGCAACTCTGGAGTCTGATGTTTTTTTTTTTCCCATGAAGATTATCACTGCTGATGGTTTGTTTGTTCTTTGGTAACTTGCTTCATCTAGATCTGTAAATCTGCTAAGCACTTTCCCCCCTGCACTATAATGTGCAGCTGCTGACATCTCTGCTTGCTTTTTGATTATTTTTCCTTAATTTTACCTTTAAGCTTGGCTTCCTTGAGGTCACTGCTGTGTCTGCATAATTTAGTGGTCAACCAATAATTGAACAGAGGTCATATTCAAATATCTTAGCCATTCAGGCTTCTGTCCTCTGCTAATAGGTATGAGAACTTCACTCAAAGTTTAGGCCACTAAACCAAGTCTGCCCTGGCTTTTACTTTCCACTGGGCCCTTTGCCTGTCTCTATGCACATTCATGCAGCCTCAGGGTTGGTCCTCGCTGGCCTGCCCCACCCTGGCAGAACATTTGCACCTGACCAAGCAGAGAAAAGAGAATGGGAGCAGACTGGTCAAGAATGCCACAGAGTTCTCCTATTCTTTTCCAACGTTCGGCTGTTTTTCAAGCATAAACACTTTTCAGATTATTGTGTCCTTTCATCAATTCCCAGAGCACTAAAATGGTTGTTTTTACCAAGTCTGTACAACTTTATGCTTTTTTGTGGGGAGAGAATTTGCCAATTTCCTTGTGCAGTCACAACTATTAAAATCTGAGAATACTTCTACAGCAAATAATATTATCCATAGAATATAGCCAAGTACAACTGAAATATGTAAATGATTTCTTTAGAACATTAATGGTCCTATACATATAGGAAATTTCACTATTCAAATTTAACCAAAACTGTTTGTTCTCTTCTTTTTCCTTTATTTCCATCTTTTCTTTCACTCATGATTCATTAATTCAATTATCTGTATAATAAATATCAATTGATGTCCTATTATGTGCTAGTCTACTTCACTTTTAGACCTTCTCACCTGTGTCATCAGCAGTTGCCTCACTCTTACAATAGCAGCCCTATAATTCAAATACATGCTTCATCAAATTACAAATTACTATATGTCATAAACCTTCAATATTGTCCTATCAGTATAGAAAACAATAAAGATTTACATGACACTATCACATGCCAGGCATTATTCTAAGTGTTTAACATAGGTTAAATTCATTTAACTTACAACAACTCTATGAAGAGCTACTATTATTATCTACATTATATAGATGAGAAAACAGAGGCTCAGAGAAATTAAGTAACTTGTCTAAAATCATACAGGTAGTGGGGCCGGCCCGGTGGCGCACTTGGTAGAGTGCGGCGCTTGGGAGCGCGGCGGCCCTCCCACCAAGGGTTCGGATCCCATATAGAGACCAGTCCGCTCACTGGTTGAGCGCGGTGCGGGCACGACACCAAGGGTTGCAATCCTGTTGCCCGTCGCGGTACAGGCGCGACACTGAGGGTTGCGATCCCGTTACCGGTCACAAAAAAAGACAAAAAGGAAAAAAAAATCATACAGGTAGTAAGCAGCAAAGACAGTACTTGAATTTAGGCACTCTGTCTCCAAAATCCATGCCTTAACTACAACATTACACTGCCGTATGAATGTGTGATCTGCAAATGCCAAGAATCTATTATTCCACTTTGATATTACCAAATCTGTAAGGGAAGTAAAGCATATATGTACTTCAAAAAACAATACTAACAGGCTTTTCACTTGAAATTACTATGTCTAGCACTCAAAATGACCATATTACTGTTTATTAAAGCTCATTGCTCAAAGAATTTTTATATTAGAAGTTACTAAGATGTGTTAAGAGAAAAGCTCTTATAAAACAACCATCATAGGAATATCCTAAATGTATCAAATCCATTTTCAAAATCAGACAACTTGTCTCTACTGACTGAAATGGGGAAGGCAGCAGACACTTTAATATGAATCTAACATAACAAGTATTGATAAGAATTAACTAACTATAGCATTAGATTTTTAATATTTCAGGAAACATATAAGCACATAAGTTCTTTCTTCTCTGTTACAATTGGCTCTTCCAGCCCCATTCTTTCCAAAAAAAATGACTTTAAATGTGAAATTCCAAAGGTTCATATTTTGACTTTTACTAAGGTCAATTTACGTAGTTCATAGACTCCTCTATACATCTGCAACTATAAATCTATAAGCAAAAGTAAAATTGTTTTACCCATGATGACTTTAAATGTGAAATTCCAAAGGTTCATATTTTGACTTTTACTAAGGTCAATTTACGTAGTTCATGGACTCCTCTATACATCTGCAACTATAAATCTATAAGCAAAAGTAAAATTGTTTTACCCATGACTACCTTTCTTATTCTGCCCTTTTCAGTGTTATAACAGGCTTCAAGAGAGATCACACAGATTCTATAGCTTAAGAGAATGTGTAAGCCAGTGGCACATTCAAAATAATGAATCAAAGATAGCCAATGCCAACTGCTTCTTTCCCAAAGAACAGGCAACAGAGCTGAGCAATGAGGGTACAGAAATTTGTTTTGCAAGTCTTTTCCTCACATATCTTTCAACTACAAGGCAACTGTGTCATAATCAACTCAATGCACACTGTCAATGCTCTGAGGATTTTTTTTAAATTGCATTTAAAATGTGACTATGTTTACTTTAGCACCATTCACTTGACTGGGACAGATGACTAATCATTGGGGTTAGGGGATTATGAAATCTAAGAACAAAGCAAGGAGCTGAAAGACTAAAGAGGAGAAAATTTCCCCAAAGCAGAATAATTATTTCCATATAAATCATTTTGTGATTTTTTTAAAAGTGACCTCTGTGACCTGTGAGGTAGTGGAAAAGGAAAGTCAAAATGACAAACTGCTAATCATGCCAAGAGACCCCTTTTCCCTTTCCTGATGATGTTTCCTCAACATGAGTGGTAGTTTCCTCAGGCAGGCCAGTGATAGAATGCTGATTTACTATATAACCTATACATGTCTGCATGTGGGGACTTAACATACCTTAAGCCTAGACTCCATTACAACATAATTTCTAATAAAGATAGGAGCAGAACCTGGTATATTATTGTGGGGAATTCTGTTTTCAATATTATATAATAACAACTACTTCTTTAAGGAAGAGAAACAAAAAATAGCAGTTGGCCTTCCCTAAATTATTTACCAAAAAATACTTTGAATTTCCTTTGTGTCACAACTAATAAGATGAATCAAATGAATAGCTGCTCTTTTTCTCCCATTAGAATGAAATGTTTTATATATCTTTTCATTACCTCTTAATCCTTTTGCAGAGTACTCTGGGTATTGTCATCTCAGTACTTCCAACCTGATTATGTTTCTTTATACTTTACCTAGGCTGGGCAAATTAATCTTCTGAAGCACAACTCTGATCCTTTCACTCTTCTGCACACAAACTCCAAATCTCAAATCTTTAATGAATTAAATACCTTCACTCCATCCTGGTGTTTATGACAATGGAACCCCATAAGAGAACCTCAACTTATCTTTATACACTTACCAACTACTATTACTCATCCCTATATTCATCCCTCTACTCCACACAAACCAAATTTCTGATTTCTGAACTGAGTCTCTCCGACTCCTTCCCTGCCTTTGTTCAAGCTGTTTATTCTACCTAGGCTGTTCCTCCCACATCCAACCTTGCTATGCTGGAATTCTATCTAAAGTCCAGCAAAAACAATATCCGCTCCACAAAAACCTTTCTAATATTACCACTGCAAAGACTATGACTCCTCCTTCTCTTGACTTGCCAAAGTATTTTTTGAATCTCTTTGACAGTCTTTATTAAATTCCACCTTGTGGTATAGTTATTTGTGAGAATTACCTTTGTAGCTTATAGCACTATGCTTTTCATACGATATCTGTTGAACAGAACCAAAATCACTCTTCAAGAGAATACTAGGTAATTATCTTCTTAATATATTCTCCCCTTCCCTTTTTTTCTTTTCTTTTAATTTTTCTTTTCCCTGATTAAAAAATAATTCCTGTTTCACTAAACAATTTTAGTTCTTGATCTTCAGTATAAGATCCTGGGCCTGAAAATTCTTGCTGATTTGCTGTGAGCCTATCACATCACAATTCTAACAACCTATTCAGCAAAACTAATTACTGAAAACTACAGGAAGAACATACCTTGGGCTACACAAAGTAGAGTGCGGAGGGAAGCGGGAGGGGGAGGGAGGTTGGGGATAATTGGGTGGGGGACACGGGGTATAAACACAATTTGTGGTAATGGGTATGCTGCCAGTATGAATTTGGCCTTCACGTCTTGGGCACAAGGGGTGACAATCAGCTTTGTATCTCATGAATATTCATAACCAATAAAATAATAAGAAGAAGAAGAAAAGAAAAGAAAACTACAGGAGCATTTTAAACATAAGGAATCCATTTAAGACGCTCACCACAGTTCAAAGCCTGCCTCTGGGATATTGAACTTTAATTATCAATAGTCTCTTTCTTCAAAGCACTAAAATGTATTAATTGACACCAACACTCAAGTTCCACCAATGGATGGGCCTATAAGTGATCTAACTTGACAAGATTTTCCCTTTTTTGGCAGTTGGCCAATCTGGGGATCCGAACCTGTGACCCTGGTGTTATAAGACTGCACTCTAACCAACTGAGCTAAGCCCCTTGACAGGATTTTCTAACAATACTTCTCTCCTGAACAAGTTGAGTGGCCCGTTACTATTTATAAATAAGAATTAAAGATTGAAAATAGCCCATTTATACAAGGTTACAAAATGTAATACAAAAATAGAGTAGCCCCAGACAAGATAAAAGCAATAATCAAATCTCACACCTTCACAAATATATGGAATTGATTAAGCGTTACCATTGATTTGTGGAGATAAAAAAATACCAATAAGTTTTAACTATCTTATTTGACCCCACCAATACTTGGATAACAGCAGAAGCCTAAAGATACACTATTAATTCTGAATGTGTAATTATACATGGGTCTTTCTTGCCCAAAACTAATTTCTTTAAAGGTTTCAGAGCTGTGGGCTCTGCTAATTTGCATGGTTGATATACTTGTCCAATAGGGCAGTTAAATTACCTGTTGAATGAGTGAGCGAGCCTCTTCAGAGACACATTCTGGCATGTTCAAAGTTGTGTGAGTATTTATTCCTGCTGGATGGCACTCAACCAGAGTCTGAAACAATCAATCAGGTATACTTCTTATCCCAAATAACATCATATTCTGTTCTATCACAGGAGTTATGAACAGCAAGTACAGAGAGCTCAACAATCATCTTAACTGGAGGTGTAGTAATCAATACAGTTGCCACACACAGTTTAGGATGGGGGCTATGGGCTTTTAGAACTTCTAAATGAGGGCCGGCCCGGTGGCGCACTGGATAGTGCACCGCTTGGGAAGTGCGGCGGCACTCCCGCCTGAGGGTTCGGATCCCACATACAGACCGGTTCCCGCTCACTGGCTGAGCGAGGCGCGGGAGCAACACCGAGGGTTGCAATCCCGTTGCCGGTCCCCGGTCCGGTACGGGGGCAACACTGAGGGTTGCGATCCGTTGCTGGACACGGAAAAAAGACAAAAAAGACAAAAAAAGAACTTCTAAATGAAACAAAGACAGTCATCATGATCATACCATAAGCTTATGCTACTGTCCCTTTTCCCTTAGTTATAAAATGGCTTATAAAAGAAAAGCTTAAATTACACACAAAAACTAAAAAGGGACTTGATATCTCTGAAATGTTTTAATGTTCTTAAAAGCCTTCAAGGTTTAGAATTTGTAAATAATAATGCTTTACATATGTACTTTACAGTTTAAATGTATGTAAAGGTGATTTGTAAACTCCATAAGAATCTTAGGAGTCTGATAGTATCTACATATTTAAGGTAGATAACTACTTAAAGTAAAACTGTTCATTTCCTCTGTTTTCTTCCCAGGAGGCAATCTGCACAGTACTCGATATAGTCTATTAACCTCAAACATCATACTTAAAAGTTATTGACCAAAGAGAGTATAAATTCTGTCCTTAAGCTAGAGTAGATAGAAAAAATTTACAATATTGAAAAAAAAAGATAATGCTACTTTAATACCTAAAATGAGAATTCCCTCCAGGTTTCAGACAAGATGTTTAAAACATCCAGAGAATTCTAATACATCCTTACATAAACCTTACAGATTTGACTCAAAGCTGAATCACAGAAAATGAAAAGAAAAAATGTTTACTCAGTCTTATATCCCACTGTGTAACACTGTGACATAATAGAGTTTTACCATCAATTTATTCAACGTAATGCAATTCTACTTTTTAAAAAATCTGGAATTTTGATAAACTTGCATTTCTCTGCTCGTTTTTGGTGTCAAAACTTTTCTTACTTAGTCCCTGACCTAAAAACTGAAGGCAAAGGCTAACGTTCTCCATTTGAAATAAAGGTGGCATCTGGGTAAATTTATTAAACATCCAGGTCACTGCTTACCTTGCCAGTGAGAAGTTCAAAGAGGACAGCACCCAAACTCCACCAATCACAGGCTTCAGTTTCTTCCGTGATTGCTCCAACCTCTAAACACACCAAAAAAGGTTGATATTAAAATTCCAAAGGTCAATTAAACATTCAAAATTAACATGTATTAGCAAGGTGACCTTTTTAATGCTGAGAGAGCATATACTAAATACTATTGGGCTTTCAAAATTCCTGAAAGTTAAGTATCCCTTTGGTCACCTACTGTGGTTACGTTTTTTTTTTTCTTTTTTGACATAGTCATATATTAAACTGAGACATTTGTTCTTTAGTTGATAGAGGGACACCTTCAAGATGCTATACTTAAAAGTTACATGAACCTATTAGATCAGCATTTTGCTTAGCTTGTCAAATTTGAGAAAGGATAGCCAGTTCTACCACAGGGATCATTTTTTTGTTTTAGAAACAAAGACTCTTTAAGAAGGAACTTCAAAAATTACCTCAACCAATACTCATTATCCTTTTACCTACACATTAGAAGCCAGAGAGGTGAAATACCCTGTCCAATGTCATGTTGTAGCAGAAGTAAAACCTAGGTTATAGTAGCATTTCAACTAAAGAAAGAGTAAATGAAATGCAAATCCACCCATTTTGTTATTCAGAAGTACAGATATTGTTTTAAGCCACAACTGAAACTACTGGCTAAGATAAGGGCTTTTAAAATATCTACAAATCACAATTTTTACCTGTGTTATCTCTATCTCTCACCAGCACAAGTTCCTGAAATGTACTGTGAGTTTTTAGGTGTCATCTTTCAGGTTCCTCCACAAATCAGCAACAACTCATTTCACCATTTTTGAGACTTTTGGCCCTTATGTCATATTTGATATCTTCTTGTCCTTTCCTACTGACATTCAAGTAGTCCCTAAGTCTTGCCAATATCTACCCTTCCATTTCCATTTGGCTGAGAAAACATACTTGTTATTTGACTATAGGTAGTCCATAATTCATAACAATAATGTTCAAAAGTTTATAGTAGTTAGGTTGGAAGTTGGAAAGTTATAAATAGAAGTGGTACTCAGTTGTCCAGCCTTCTAACCAAAGCTTAGTAGATTTACTGTGTGGGAAAACCACCAAACTCATGAAATAGCTTTGGTTTTAAGTCTTGAAGCAAAGTTTATGTGGACCAGAAAGAGAAAAAAAGAGGCATTTCTATGCAAAATATTGAAATTACTCCATTTCAGCAATCTTCTTCCATATCCCTTCTTCTGGGTTTCAAACAGCCTGAGTAGAACAAACCCCATCACAACTAGTCTTTCCCCAGCCTATCTTCTTCCTAAAAGGCTTCATACCAAATCACAACCTCCATTCTCTAAATAGTTGCTCTCAGCTAGGTGGTAAAAGGAAAACAGATATTAACTAATTCAAACTATTGTGTGAATGACTGAAATCTCCTAATCTTGCTAGAACCATTTGTATTTATAAGACAACTGCTTGTTTGAAAAAATTGAGAACTACTTACCTAACAATAGATGTTTAAATATATATGTTGTAGCACATCTGAATGATGGAATGCTAGTACATAACCATTTTAAATAATGTCTTCATATAAGATTTAAGTATATAGGTAAATGTTTGTATATATTAAGATTTTTAAAAAGCCATAAAACAATAAAATTATAATTTTAAAAGTATATATTCCAAAAAAAGACCAGTGAGAAAATATGACAAAATGTTTTAGTGATTTGCCTCTGGGGTGGTGAGATTTGTATACTTACAATGGTAGAAAGTTCATGGAAAAATAGAATAAAAAAATAATATGAATCCTTCCATGAACTTTTTGAAGTACCCTCGTATTAACTTACATGAATATATCTAACTGGCACATTTTAAAAAGTATAGCAAGGTGATGTGAAAACATTCGGGCCTGTGAAAAAGCTACTTTAGAGCAGTGAAGACAAAGCTATGGAGACCAATCCTCCCTTCCATTTTCGCCTACATATTCATTGCCACAACTTTAATGCAGTGTATCTTAGAAAGAACAATTGACTAAGAATCAGGAGTCCTGGGCTGGGTCTTAAGGAATTCACTTTATCTCATCCATAACACAAGGGTTAGATCTGAGGATCTCCAGGTTAAATTTAGCTCTATATTCTATGATTTTGATACTTACAGATTCCCTAAAATAGTGATTCTCATGAAGGACAACTCCTTGGGGGCTTTTTTGAAGTACATATGCTACACCTCCCAGATTCAAATATACTGCCCCTGCCTCTATTCTCCCACCTCCCGATATAAAGAGCCAATATCACCTTTGGAAGTGTGCTCTTAGAAATTTTAGAAAGGACATGTGTTTTTAGAAACATTAGAAAAGTAAAAAGGAAATTTACCATAGTATGATCAGATAAAACCTTCTGCACATTTCCTCCCAGTCTAAGCAGGCAATGAATTGCATCAATTCCCTGTTTAAAATTCTTAAATGGCTTCTCACTTACCACTAAATAACATTCAAACGTCTTGCTTAATCAGGCATGTATACATACTCAGGCCTTCATAATAAGGTCTCAACCTATCGTGTTCATTCAGCCCACATACATAAAGCAGCACAAACTAGGCACTATCCATCCACAGAACTCTATGTGGCCACACTATTAGATAATGTGAAACTAAAATCAGTTTTCTCACGAGTGTAGTTAATGGTTTTATTTTTTCACATTTTTCCTCAAAAATTTGTTATTTGATTTCTTTAATCACATAGCAAATAGTATATATTTCTTAGTTTTATAAAGGTTTTACCTTTTCACAAGTCAAGATCCAAAGTCACTGATCAGCCATCTGTTTTGAATGTGCCACAGACAAGCCTCACTTTCCATGTATGAATGTTACTTTGCTCACAGTAGGCACACATTGCAATAATGATAGTTGCAACAATAAAACAGCAGCTAAAACTTATTGACTGCTTACTACACATAAGGAACTGTGTTTAACACATTACGTGAATTATTTAAAATTTTCAATCACCCTTATGAAGAACTTATTTGGGTAGGGTGACTTTGGGAGAGAGAGAATATTATATTTATTTGTCTAGAGAGAAAAAGGACATCTGATTCAGTCTGCACAGAGAAATGCTGTGAAAATTAATGAGATGGTTTTGCTGGGTCTGACAACATGTTCTAAGGAGCTCCAGACTAGAGCCACACCCCAAGTCTCTGCTTATAAGGTTCCCTGTTAGAATTGAGTGAATGGTTGCTGAGATAGGTCTATGTAATCAGAGGCTTAACATAATTTATTAAGGCACCTTTTAAATTCAGCAAAAGATCCAAAGTGCCAACACCAATATCACCAATGTAGCCTAGATCATCAAAACTGAAATGTTATGCCTGTTCTCCCACATCACTACTGGGAATGTGCACCCCGGGTGAAACGTGGCAGTGTGTGCAGGGGTGGGGGAGTTGTCTTCTTGAAGCCACCAGATAAGCACAGTGCATTTTCCTGAGCCTCAAAGATTTCTGTATGTGTGGGAAGGGGTGGGATATTGTTTTACTATTAAAAGAAACACAGACCTATTATGGAACACAATGTAAAATTTGCATGGATTTGCAAGATAAAAAGACTTCAAAGAAACCTCAGAATCATATTTCACTAGTCCCCTGGGGTGCCCATTCACTATCACCCCTGCAGTCAGAAGTACTTGGGCGGAAAAATTTGAGAAGCACTTCATGAGACAGACAGGGTGTAAACCTTTACTGGGTTCTGTGAATTGGCTCAGCTAAGCAGTCTAAGATTTCAGGCTGTTTTGAAATCCCTGGTAATTTTCTTCCAGGATCCATGTGGACTCCCTAGTGTCGGATGAACCCCAACCTGAATGTGAGGCAATGTGGGTGGCAGCAAGAAACACAAGAAGGCCCTAAAGCCAATTTGCTTTCCCACTCATCAGTGGGCTTGCTAGCTAGTCCAGGATGTACCAAGTGGCACCTGGGATAACCGCTGGTGATGCTCCAGCACTGTCAACTATAGTCTACTTCTTTCACTCTCCATTTTTTTTCCATCTTTCCTTGATCTTCACCTCTTTTTCCACTGACACTCTGCTTCTTTTCCTCTCCCCTGACTTTCCCTTTCTTCCCTCCTCTTGGATGTGATTAGTTCAAGCTGTCTAATGGCACTCAGGCCTAAAGAGACTGCTGGTCCCATCTAAGAAAAACTGCTTCTGAAAGTATGAAGGCAGCTAAGCTGAATGTCATCTTTCATCTAGTTTGGCTAGTAAAAAAAATGTCGAGCTAGGGCTTGGTCTGGAGCTCACAGACCCCTCAAGCCCGTTCACAGACTAGGTCACAAACCCTTCACATGCCAGGCTAGGTCCCCAGACCTCTTACACGCCAGGCTGGGTCCCTAAACCCCTCACACGCAAGTCTATGAGATAGGTAAGCAGCAAACAGATCCTTGGAAGCCGTACATTAGAGTATAGCCGCGCGGGGTGGAGGCCCCAGGCAGTCAGTGCCAGCCACGTCGTGGGACCGTACATGCGCACTAAGTCCACCCACACACAATTTGCTTACAAAGAATACGCCACACCACCCCAAACCAGACAGGTAGGAGAGGGGGCCTGATTAAATTATTCTATTTTCCCAAAAACAAGGATAACAACTGTAAAAAGGCAAATTTGTTTTTCATGGAAACCTGGCAAAAACAGACACGGAACAAGTTTGTTTGTTTGTTTTTGTTTGGTTTTTGGCAGCTGGCCAGTATGGGTATTGTAACCCTTGACCCTGGTGTTACAATACTGTGCTCTAACCAACTGAGCTAACTGGCCAGACTGAACAAGTTTTAAATTCATCCCCTTAACAATGCAGCTTGAAACTCTTCAACATGACTGTATATTAAGCAGGGATTTTTGAACTAATGTAAAATTGACATCATGACCAACTGTCCTTGATTTTCACAGACGACTCTAAGCTACAACAAAGAGTTCTATATTTAGGTAAGATATAAAAAAGAACTTCCTAACAGCTAGAAAGCTTAGACCAAGTGAAGGCAAGCACTGGTAGAATTTCTTCTTTATGGGTTTTAAAAAAGAAAATAAATTATTTTCTTTTAATTATCA